TAAACTGAACAAACGGATGTTTTCAGATGTTGGTGGACTGTGGAAACCTTCCTGTAACAGAAGTCAAAGAAAAACATGTAGATGAGTGAAAACACAACAACTGCAGCTTAATCTGTAGGGATTTATGTTTCCTTCCAGTCTGTGTGCGAAAGAAGTGATTATTTCTGAGCTTTTTTTTAATGCGATTTATTCTTTTCAGTGTTAAATATGAAACTCGAGGATAGGAAACACAGACAAACACTAACAGCTGGAGTAATCCACTGACAGTGTTGGTCAATTTACTTGAAAAAAGTAATCAGTAACTAATTACTGATTACTTCCCCCCAAAAGTAATCCCGTTACTTTACTGATTACTTATTTTCAAAAGTAATTAATTACTTAGTTACTTAGTTACTTTTTAAAAACACGATTTACAACCTGAATAGGTGATAAAGTGATAGATCTTTCAGCCCAATTCTACTTTTTCTACATAATCCATCATACAAAATGTAATCAAATGGAAAAGTCTCTTTTTAAAACTTGTTTTATTAGTTTTAATCTTTTAACTTTATGCATCAAGCAAACATTTAATTATCTGCAACATTCTCTGACTGGAAGAAATTAGTTTAACATTTAAACCTTTTTTCTGCACATTCCAGCACATAAAATAAAATATTTTGTGTGTTTACACTCAGTCTTTCAAATAGATGCAAGTAAAACGCAGCAGAAAATAAATAAAGTCAAAGACTAGCGGTCCTGTTGCTCTATTTTCACCTGTAAAGCAGGAGTGGGGTAGGCGGAGGGTTACCCTGGTGCAGGTGTGCAGCGGTCAGTGGAAGAATCCGCGAGTTTCTCTGTGAGTTTCCCATTACGTCGTAGCTACTCGGTGCTTGTTTGGAAGTTTAGGGGTTTTTTCGCTGTAAAAAGAAGTTTTCTTCCCACGCACAACGGACACTAATGTTTTTGTCACTTTTTATGGAATCAAACTCAAAGTAAGGTCAGTACTTCCACGCTTTAAACGCTGCACGCTCATACTCTCTCTGCACTCGATATATGATCCATTGTTGATCTGCACACAGCTGTTGTCACGAACGTCGCACTCGCTTACGTCACTGTCATGAGACATTCTCGCAAAAAAATCACGGTTTTAGTAACGCAGTAACGCAGCGTTCCTACGGGAAAGTAACAGTAATCTAATTACTGTTTTTGCAATAGTAATCCCTTACTTTACTCGTTACTTTAAAAAAAGTAATCGGATTACAGTAACACGTTCCCATCTCTGTTCACTCATGAGGCCAAACTACTATCATGTCTGTCCATCACATATGAATATTAAACTGCAGCTACTATATGGATGGTTTTCAATAACCATAACTAACACTCACTAATTAGTTATGTCTTGTTTTATTTCCACAAAGTGATAAAATAAGACACAGATAAGACGGGCTCGCCCTTATTTTGCGAGATTTGTGTCCAGCTTCAATAAAAAGACTTTTTATTGAAGCTGCTTGTTGGTTGTTAATTTGTGGCTTAGTTGACTCCATTACAGCAGCAGTGATGACTGTGTTTACCTTTATGCATAAGCACCTACACAGGCCATGAGGGCAGAGCACTGGCCCAACACACACATCAAACAACCTGGTACAAACATCACCAAGTCCAAGGAACTCATCCTGGACTTCAGGCTGAGCCCCCCTGCACATCAACAGATAAATGTGTAGAGCGAGTGGAGTCCTTCACATCTCTGCAGGCATCTCCTGGGCAGCTAACACCACGGCCCTAGTCAAGAAAGCCCAGCAGCGGCTACACTTCCTAAGGTTTGCTCAGGAAGGAGCAACTAAACACCTCGCTGCTGATGACCTTCTACAGATCCATCGAGAGCCTGCCGACCTGTGCAGTGACAGTGTGGCACGCCAGCTGCACTGAGGCAGACAAGAAGAGACAGAGGGTGGTAAACAAAGCACAAAAAATCATCGGCCGCCCCCTGCCCTCCTTGTCTACCTTGTCCTTGTCTGCAACTCCCGTTGTCTCAGTAGGGCCAGAAACATTTTAAAGGACACCACCCACCCGGCTTTTCAACCTAATGCCCTCTGGCAGGCGCGACAGATCCATACGGGCCAGAACAGACTCAGGGACAACTTCTTCCCCAAAGCCATCACCATACTCAACTCAACTGTACAAAAGTAATCTGCACTGAAATATCATCAGTTCCCTGCCTGTCTGTCACTGTGTCAGCACTGTGCTGTGTATTTCTATTTATAGTAGTGTATAGTTATATTATTGTATAGTTTTTATAATGTGCTATAAGCATGTGTGCACTTTTATAGAGCTGTTTCCAATTTCGTTATACTATGTATAATGACAATAAAGGCTTTCACTTCAACTATATTCATACTGTCACATAACTGACATTTTGTGGTTTGTGTGAATCCGATTAAACGGTGTAAAAAGCACAAACAGCTCCGGATGTGTCCTGATTTAGATTTGAAGCCTGTGTCCTCGCTGTGAACTGCTCACCTCAGCCTTGGCAAAGCTGCACACAGATATTACACTGCTGCCAACTTCCTCATTAACCATCATTAGTCTGAACCAGCATAACACTCGCAGCTCACTGAAGCTCAAGACACCTGATAACGGGCTTGTGTAGCGCGAGCGGCACACAGCATGGCTGACGCCAATCCTCTAACAAACACAGGTAAACGTTTAAACAGATTAACTGATCGGACGTGCGGGAAAATCGCTCGAGAAAAACGATGATGATGTTTCATGATGTGCAAAAAGTTTAAGGATACATAATTCCTGCTTCACTCTGATGGTCTTCCATCCCAGCTGAGATTTTAAAAAGTGTCACGGTGCACTGATAAGAGGCATAAATAAATAAGTTAAGGTTTCTTGTGATGAACTGCTTTTCTCGATCCATTCTGGCAATCATAATGTGTCATTGAGGATCTAATTGAAAGTACCTGAGAGTTTGATTAAGTCACACAACCACAGCTGCTCAGCTGTGATGCTCCTCTGCTTTAATGTGGGGCTATTAATCACCCTATTGTGCGTTTGTGTGTCTGTGTGTGTGTGTGTGTGAGAGAGAGAGATTGACTGCCTCAACTCACCTATGTCATCATCAGAACTGCACAGGCTGAACACATGGTTTGGATGAAGGGATAGATCGGGCTATAGGATGAGATCAGAGGGTTTATCCACGTATGCTTTGGTGACGGGTTGGAAGGTGGAGGTAAGGGGCAGGAGTCGAGGGAATTCAAGCCGGCGTTCCAGGAAACACAAAGCTCAAGATCAAGCTGTGGTTGTCCTTCAGCTGTGCTCGTTGTGATCTCAACATCAAACCCTCATCCACCATCCATACATCCATTTATCCCCCCCACCCCCACAGCACTCCTTTCATCCACCCCTTATCCCATCATGTTACCGCCCCCGAGGGTCTGCCGTTGCCCTTCCTCAGCAGAGCCCACCTCCAAGTGTGTGTGTGTGAGGATGGAAGAAGCCTCATGAAAGCCGATTGCATTTTAATAAAGTTTATTATCTGCTGGGAGCTAATCCTCAAGGGTAATCTCTCCTCTCTAGTCCTAAAGGAAAGCTGGATTACTCACTTGCTATAATCCCAATGAAATTGTTAGGATTTAGCTTGCGCTGCACAGCAGATGGCAACAGGCTTTTTCCTTCAACCTTGCATGGTTTAACCCCCATTTCTACATGTAACACCCTTCTCCTTCTCCTGATTGTTTTTTGTTTTGACCTAGAACAACAGGAAGTCACTTTCAAACCTGGAACAAAAACATATTTCGACATTAAAGACAACACAGGCGGCATTTACGTGTTTAACGTGACCGGCGCTTCAGAACAAGGAAACAAAAGACGAAGATCCTTATCAAAAATAATTTTATTGATTCAGACCAAAGCAAATGGAAACATCGAAGAAGAGCAGCGCTTCATCGTTCATGGACCCCAGGCAAGAAAACAAAACAAATCCCGATTAATCCAAATCCTCGTCCAGTGTGAACATATTCCTCACTCCACTTCAAGAACCAGAGTGGCGATCACGCAGACTCAGTGTGATGTAATATTCAGACATTATGTCAGCTCAAGTGTAATTTGGACCAACGCAGCTCATCTGCTTCTCTCTGGTCGAGTCACAGTTTTCAGCAATAATTTAAGATTCAACACGACTGCTCTGAATCACTCAAAGTTCATTTAACCGTTTAAATTCACAAAATTGAGACAGAAATGAAAAAGCAACCAAAACAAACGTAATGTGACTAAATTCGTAGCCACACGACAGCGTGAAGGAGGGAATCTGACAGAAAACAGTCAAATTAAAAATCCACCAAAAGTGAAAGAAAACCAAACACAGCTGAAACTTATTAGACCCCCCAGCACAGCTTTATGCCATAACTAACAGTATTGAAAGTCATCTGTGTTTCTGTTAATCCGCTAGTTTGTGCAAGCTCTTAAATCAAAATGATATTGGTCCAGTTTTCCTCCCATCACCCCCAGTCAGTCGCGACAGCCCTTCTCTCAGCCCGGCTCTGCCGGAGGTTTCTTCCTGTTAAAGGGGAGTTTTTCCTTCCCACTGTCACCCAGGTGCCTGCTCAGAGGGGCTTTATCTGATTGGTGGGCTTCTCTCTGTACTATTGTAGTAGTAGCACCTTGAAGTGACTTGTGATTTGATGCTATATAAATAAAAATGAACTGAAAATAAAATCATTGTCATGGGAATTTTCAGATTTACCATTTTACAAACAAAAATACAATAATAACATAATAAAGCACATTTTCCAATCAAGACGTCAAATTAAAGCTATTTGCTTGAATTCCTGCAGAAAAAAAAAAGTTTTGTTTAATGTTTAATGCTTTACTCGCCCATATGGAAAAGAAATAGTAAAAACATATGATTTACTCATGAAAGTGGCCACTTTCTCATTACTTTCATATATTTTTTAGTAAGTATTCAAAACATACAAGTTTCATTATATAATTTTTCAAGGGATCTTATATCTGTTTTTACTCTTGTATGCTTTTCATACAAGACAGATACAAACCTTATAAGATTTATATCTTTTCCATATGGGCGATTCATTTCTGACTCCTCTCTGAAGTCCACTGTGCCGGATTAAAAATATGAATTTAGTTTATTTTGCCTAATAAATAACAGCTGTTAGCTATAAACAAGCTTTTTGATACATTTCTAAAATATTTGTGTTTTCTTCTTTTTGATGACAGGTGATCTAATACATTTTAAGCGCTGTATCTATATCACACAGATTACAGAAAACATTTCAGCTCATACTGGGGTTTAAAGTGGTGACAAAAACTGATTTTCCTTTATTTAAAGTAAATATACATCTAAACACATTTTTTCCACAGTCAGTGTGGAAAGAATGAAATTCCCTTCAGGCTGCACGGAAAATAAAATCATGACTGTCCTGATTTTCTTAAACAAACTTGCTAATTTTCCCTTCTCCTCGTCTCTAGTTGGACAGAAAACAGTGAAATTCACAGTAAAATGTGTCACTGCAGGTAACATTTGACTGGACAGTTATGGAGGGCAGCATTTTTTATTTGTGTGCAGTGCGCTCAAACTTAGGAGACATTAATCTTTGTTATGCCTCAGGTGAAATTAGCACATATTTTAGCTCAGGGGACGGAGATTTTCGGCCGCCGTCGTCTGAGGCGGTTTTTGAAGAAAAGGTACATGAGCAGGAGACACAGGGAGGACAGGAAATAAAGGAAGACACACAAGCTGATGTCCACCTTCGAGAAGCCAATGCTCAACACGGACATCAAGCGTCCCTTATGCCTCAGCTCAGCCTCCTGACCAAAGTACAGGCCCGCCACGTCTCGCTTCTGCAGCCGCTTCCTTGGCCGCGCAAAATCCAGATCGAAGCCTGCATCCATTGGTTCCAGACCCACCATCCCCAACCCTGCGCCCAGCTCCATGCCGAGCCCAAACACAGGCCCGGGCTCCTGCTCTTCCTTTCTCTGCAGGCTGCGTCGTTTGACCCGGGTGGAGGTAGCCATCTGCAGCGCCTTGGCCTTGTAGTGCTGGTTGACGAACGAGTCGAGATCCACAATGTCCTCCTGCGGGTCTCTCCTCATTCTCACGAAGCTCGGCCTCCTCCGAGCCTGCTGCCGGCCATGACCCAGCTCCATTTCAGGCTTGGCCCAAGGCGTTGGCTCAGACGATCTTCCTACCATGTCACCTGCTAGCCCATCCTCTTCATCTTCCTCTTCTTCCTCTGCTGCCGTTTCATCCTGTGGGCCTTCTTCCTCTTCCTCCACCTCCCCGCCTTTTTCTTCCTCTTCCTCCTGCTCAGTGGGTTCTGTTTCCAGAGGATGTTTTCTGAAGTCCAAGGCCTCCCTGGCTCTTCTCTCTGCGTGTCTCTCAGCTATGTGAATGACCTGCTGGCTGCCATGTTTCTCCCTCCGTTTTTCCAAAATCTGGCTTTCACTCTCCAGGTAGTCTGATGGGAAAAGGGGAAAAACCCAAAACAAATAAAACATATGTGGTTCTCCCTTCACCAACTTTCCAAAAATCACACTTTATGAATCTAGGACCAAATCTTCTCAGACTATGAAGGAACATTTGATCCCATTTGAACTTAAGATACACAGTTACTAGTTTACACTTAGAAATGTAGCAGTCAGTCATTAAATGCATTAAAAATTCAATTATTAAACAACACTGCTTATATATGTGTAACAGGCATCCAGGTATTGATGAACAGGTACGAATTTATTTTTAATTTTTTTTAATTTTATATATTTTTTATTTTTTTAATTTAATAATTTTTTTTTACTTTTTTGGATCAGTCTAATTTTGACCTCCCAGTTTGGTAAAGTTCTTGAAGTTCTCAGCATAAAACGTTTTCAGTCAAACCTGTGAGGATTCTGTCGGAGGAGAAGTAGGTCAACAGGAACTTGAGAACCTCCGTCAGGTTCCACGTGTGCTCCCCGTTGTCCTTTACTGCATGGCAGGCTGAACACACGTCGGGTGGAGGCCACTGCATCTTTGGAAATTGAGGATCTTCACTCAAAGCACCTGCAAAAGAAACGGGGTGAGCAGATCGCACAGTGGAGCCTTAAGCACTTTGTTACTGGGAGAATATCAAACGTGCAACAACAGACAGGAAATGAGGATCAACTATCACAGCAAGTTACATGCACTGCACTGTCAGAGGCCTCAGAAGTAAACTTCACATCTTCCTTCTACATTTATGACCATTTCATTCAGAAAGATGTCCAACACTGTTTTACTGATATGATTTTTATCCCTTTTACAACAAAGAGAGAAATCGTACAATTATCGCTACAATTTTACCATAAAAACAGACTTTTTCTGTATTCAAGAGATTTTTAAAACAAATGTAGACCGTCTCAGTGGCTTCTTTCACAGCCTCAGAGTCACACTAACAAACTGTAGCAGATGAAGCGACTTGCAGTCAGATGCTTCCTCCATTGTTGGTGCACACTGACAGGATGTAAGTGCTTTGAGGACTGGATGCAATCTGCGCTGAACCCATTTGATCTTGTCACAGCGCTCGTAAAAACTAAGTGCCTATATGCATATGTGTATGTATGTATTTAAGAGTGTATATGTAAATCATCTGTCTGGGTGTGTGCGCGTGTAATCTATGGATTGATATTTTTGTGTGTGTGCGCTCGTATGACAGCGTCTAACAATGATCAATAGGCTTCTGGGATGTCCCAGTGGGAGGGATGGTGAGATAATAGATGTGGCCAAAGTGGACAGCTTCCCCACTCATACGCGCACCCACCCACCCTGTTTTCAGGCACCTCGGTGCTCTGAACCACCTGTCTCGTCCCTTTACACCCCTTTGAAAGCAAAGTCCAATCTCCAAATTGAACATGAGACCAAGAGAAGCCTCAGCGGGGAGCTGCCCTTCTAATGAATTAGAAACTTTCTCCTTTAACATGTTTTCTTTTATGTAGCCGCTGCCCACCGACGCCGCTCATCGCTCACACATCACTCGGCCTTTGTATGCTCGCAAACACACTGGCAGGAGACACGTACACCCACACACAGGGCAGCATCTCGTAATGAATTGCTTGTTGTCACCAGCGGGCCATTGTGCGTCTGAGTGTGTGTGTTGGTTTGTGTTGG